CTGGGCTGGGCTCCGACGCGACGCGGAGGCTCCTCCTCTCCCTCCTCGGCCGCAGAGCCTTGGCCACGGCGTCCAGCATCTGCGGCCTGGACTTACGTCGGGCCTGTCCCTCTGCAGGAGGGATATTCAAAAATAGTCAAAAAATAGTATGGGGACGATTTGTGTTGCATTTTTACCTAACAGCTTTTGCTGATAGGTTTCTAGTGGTCTCAAAAGAGAGCAGCAGATGACTCCACAGGGGGGTCGGGGCGGGACCCGGGGCGGCTGCCGCCGAAGGCCGCCGAAGCCCAAATCGCTTGGGACATCCTCGCAAAATCGCTCTTGGCGCTGCTAGAACTCCATCCCCGGCGTACATTTTGGATGCCCGGAGCCAACTGTAGGCCACTTCGTGGTTCTTCGAGTTCCCAGAACTCCATTCCCGGGCCACATTTTGGATGCCCGGAGCCAACTGTAGGCCACTTCGTGGTCTTCGAGTTCCCAGAACTCCATTCCCGGGCCACATTTTGGATGCCCGGAGCCAACTGTAGGCCACTTCGTGGTCTTCGAGTTTCCAGAACTCCATTCCTGGGCATGATTTTGAATGCCCGGAGCCAACTGTAGGCCACTTCGTGTTCTTCGAGTTCCCAGAACTCCATTCCCGGGCCAGGCAGGCTTGAGGCTGAGGCTGAAGGCTGAGGCTGAGGCAGGCTGAGGCTGAGGCTGAGGCAGGCTGATGCTGAGGCAGGCTGAGGCTGAGGCTGAGGCTGATGCAGGCTGAGGCTGAGGCAGGCTGAGGCTGAGGCCGAGGCTGAAGGCAGACTGAGGCTGAGGCTGAAGCAGGCTGAGGCTGAGGCTGAGGCAGGCTGAGGCTGAGGCAGGCTGAGGCTGAGGCTGAGGCAGGCTGAGGCTGAGGCTGTGACTGCGACTGCCGTTGCCGCTGCGACTGTCATCGCGAATGCGACTACGACTGCGAGAACAGCAGAATTCGACAACTGGATTTTCATCTGAATCTTGAGGGGAATGCTTTCAGATATGCTTCTACACATCGCTGTTAGGTTGCTTTGCCGGGATAATTTGTTTGTTGCTATTTTGGGGTACTTGTTGAGTATTTGTAATTTTTTCGACCAACATCCGGTAGGGGGACATGCCCGGCCTAAGCCTGGACCCAGATGGCCGCAGGCCATATGCTACGCTATATGCTTCAACAGCGTCGCAATCCAAAAATCCTCCCTCCTCTCCCCTCTCCCTTGGCATCGCTCGGACGTGTGCACTTTTCCTTCGGCGAGGACCATCGAATCGAGGAGCATCCTTGATCATTTGGCGAAAAAACCACGCACGAAACCGAACAAAGCACAGGGAGTGGACGTCCGAGCGATGGCCAGCTCCCGACGCGGAGGCTAACGGCCCAACTCGCCAGGGCCGTTGGGCATTGCCACGACCGCGGCGTCATCCACCGCGACGTCAAGCCGGACAACGTGCTCGTGAGCGCCAAGGACGGCGGCGCGCCGAGGGCGGGAAGCGAGCCGGGGGGGAAGTTTGGGGAACTCCGGGCTCGAGGCCAAGAGGTTTTCGGGCGTTCTCGTTGGCTCTTGAAGAGGAGGAGTGGGAGGAGGAGGAGGAGGAGGAGGAGGAGGAGGAGGACGAGGACGAGGACGAGGACGAGGACGAGGACGAGGACGAGGACGAGGACGAGGAGGGAGGAGAGGAGGAGGAGGGAGGAGGGCGGAGGGAGGAGGGAGGAGGGAGGGGGGAGGAGGGAGGAGGAGGAGCGAGGAGGAGGAGGAGGAGGAGGAGGAGGAGGAGGAGGAGGAGAACGAGCACGAGCACGAGCAGAGGAGGGAGGAGGAGGAGGAGGAGGAGGAGAGGAGGAGGAGGAGGGAGGAGGAGGAGGAGGAGGAGGGAGGAGGGAGGAGGGAGGGGAGGAGGGAGGAGGAGAGGAGGAGGGAGGAGGGAGGAGGGAGGAGGGAGGAGGGAGGAGGGATATTCAAAAATAGTCCAAAAATAGTGTGGGGGCGATTTGTTTTAAATATTTGTTGACCATTTGTGATTTTTGTTTAGGGTATTTTTTATTAGTCGTCCAAAATCCCCCTGTAGGGGGACAGGCCCGACCTAAATGTACGGTTTGAGCTCCCCCCCTTCCCCCCGATTCGGAGTAGTTTCGGACCTTCCGAGTTTGAGTGCCCGAGCGGTAGTGCGCAGACGCGCCAGCTTGGGATTGCGGGGGAGGGGGGAGTGCTGCTGACTTGCTTCCCTCCACCGTCCCACCTGCCCGCTGGGCGCGACGCGGGCCAGGACGGCTCGGTGCGTCTCTGCGACTTCGGCAGCGCGTGCCGGCTGGTGCCCAACGGGGGCCCGCTCACGGACTACGCGGCCACCAGGTGGTACCGGGCGCCCGAGCTGCTGGTGCGCTTCGACGACTACGGTCCCGGGGTGGACGTGTGGGCGCTGGGGTGCCTCCAGGCTTCCCAAAGGGGATCTGAGGAGCTTGAGGCCCGGGCGATACCACGTTTGTCGCACTACCCGTTTTCGCCTGGGTCTGGGCCCCAAGTCTGTCGCAGATCGATCTTGCTCGAGACATGCAGCAGAAAGATGGGGTCGTTGGGCCCTTGTTGTGTCGTTTTTTTGTGGTAAAAAACACTGCACCATCCCACCTACGGCCCTCCATGATGCGCTTCGGCCCATCGGGGGCCGTGGCGCGCACTGCGCGAGAACCCACGCCAGATTTCCTGGTCTACACCAAGCCTCCTGGGGCCGAAATTCGGTGGGGTGGTGCTGTTTGTTTTCTGGTCCACCGTGATTTTGCGCGATGCTCATTTGTTCCGCAACCTCGGATCTCAGGGCAGGTGGGGTCGGACCCCCGTTCGGGAGGCCTCCAGGTGCGTGGCCGCGGAGATGCTCGCCGGCAGGCCCCTGTTCCCGGGCAAGAGCGACCTGGACCAGCTGTTCATGTCGGGGAACAAATAATGGCACAAACCTCAACTTTCGGAGGTCCGCGCGGATTTCTTGGATCGACGCTGGAGCCCCCTGGCGACGCCTCCGGCGCCGCCTCCTGGCGCGCCTCGGCCCAGCGCCGATCCGAAAAAACCCGCGCGGACCTCCCAAAGTGTGGATGCTTCTGCCATCTCTCGTTCCTCCATCCAGCTGCCTATGCGGCAACTCCCGCCACCTGTGACCCCCAGGGAGACGCCGAGGCCGCCCAGGGGCGGTGCGCGCAAGAGGGGCGCGAGGTGAGAGGTGGGTGGAGCCTCTTCGAAGACGACAGGGTTCCTGCCAGGCAGCACTCGGCGGGGAGCAAGCGAGTGGCCCCCACCTTGTCAGCACCGGGGGATCTGGGACGGTCGCGCACCTCCTGGCAGGTGACCAGCTCGGCCACCCTCCCGGCCCCGCACCTCGGCCATCCTCCCGGCCCCAAAACCTCGGCCATCCTCCCGGCCCCGCACCTCGGCCATCCTCCCGGCCGCGGCAAGCTTTCGCGCCAAACATCGGCCTTCAGGCTGCGTCGCCTGGCCTGCCAGGGCCCTCATGTCCGTCGCAAGAACGCAGGCTCCCCCGGGGTTTACAGCCCCTGCCACTGTGGTTGGGTGGGGACGGCGTTGGAGGGATAGCTCCCCAGAGGGGGTTGGGAGGGACAGCTCCCCAGGGGGGGGGGGCACCGGGGGGGCCTCGCCCCGATGGGGGGGGACCTCCGGTGCTGGACGGCACGGGCCTCGCGCCCGTGCGCAGACGCCCGCGCAGGGTCGCGTGTGACACCGCGCGCGCGTCGGTCGTTGAAGGTACTCCAGATTTCGTAATAAAGGGCGGGGGGTCTCATTTCGGGGGGGGCTCTTCCAGGCCATCTTGGAGGGCCTGGGGGGGTCTGGGGACGATGTTTTGGAGGGTTCTCCCACGGGGGGGTCTAAAACTTGTCGTCTGGGAGGGTTGAGACCCCCTCCATTTTATTACGAAATCTGGAGTAGGTGTTTTTGGAACCCCAAATCCCAGTAGTCATCAGAGGCGTAATTTCCCCATCGCTGCTTAAAAAAAAGTGGGGGGGGAAGAAAAAACGCGATGTCCGCCCGGCCCCCCGTGGGAGGAGCGGACATGCGAGCGCAATGGCGCGCACGGCGACGCGCGACCCGCCCCTGGTAATAACGTGAATTCGCGGGCGCCGCGGCGACGACGACGGCGATGAAATTAGGTTTTTTGTGACTCCCCAGTCCCAGTCAACTTCAAGCGCCTTCTTACTTCAAGAGTCGATGTGCTCTGGCTGTGTCGTGCTGTTCTCTGGGAGGGCCTGGGCCCGATCTACTTCAGCCGCCTTCCGACGTCGTGCTCTTGCCTACTTCCGACCGACGTGTAGGGTCAGGCATCGCGGCCGCTCACCGGTGAGGCCCAGAACCCTAGCAGCACCCCGCTGACGGACTGCACGGCCGGCCGGCTGCCACGGAAGGAAGGGATCCGTAGCCGTATAGGCTTGGACGTGGCTCAAACTCAGGAGGGAAAAAAACACACACAGACACAATTATTCGTCGATTCCCCAGAAAATATGGGAAGATATGGGAAGTGGTGGGGAAGACAAAAACCAAGAAAATATGGGAAAATATGGAGGATCCTGTTATTTGTGTGTATTTATTTGTGTGTCCCAAGGCCCCTTCACAAACGTCAAGCCAAGGCCGAGCAAGCGCGTCCGTTTCCCTTGCCCCACCGCCGCCCACAACACCGCCACCGACGAAGTGGCGGACGAAGGCGGGCCAGACAGCTTGGGCGCACTGACACCGTCGCATGCGCCGGGTGGCGCACGCCGTGGCGTCAGAGTGGGAAACGCATGCGAACAACACTGCCCGCATAGTCGCGGCGTCAAACATGCGCAGCATCCACGCAATAACGGTACCCTGGGGGGACATCGACGAGGAATTCATGAGCACAGCAGAAAATGCCATCGGCGATGAATGGGCCCCTGGACGACGCACGCACCATCACTCAGCGAGCGCCGAGGCCAACCACATCGTCGCCGCCTTGGCTCGGATCGCTTCGGTGTCGCGGAAACACGCGTCAACGAGGGACAAATCCCAAGTCAAAGTGACCGAGTGGGCGGAAACGCACGCATAACTACCGCGCCCAAGCAAGCGGCGGAAGGCCGCCCCAACAGGAACGCCGCCTTTTGCATCAGCGGCCGACGTGGGAAACAAGCTGGGGCACTCGCTGCAGATAACTATCGCCTTGGCCGACGAAATCGGGATGGCGTCAATTAGAGTGCGGTAGATCAAAGAAAAAGCATCCTGCCAGAGGCCGAACGGAACAGCCTATTGAAAACGCCCTTTCAACAGGAGGCCAGGGCTCCCGCAACACTCATGGCGCACATCTGGGCAGTCTACCGCCTCCGCAGCTGGTCTGCCAGTAAATATTTGCACCAGTGGCAGCTCGGGCCCTTGGAAATAGTATTTCTTTTGCGGGGCGTCGTCGTCGGCCGGAACAGCGACCCGCGCATGTTGTTGAACGGTTTCGAATGGCTGTGCACTGCCTTGGTGCCCACGTGTGCTCTAGAGGGCGCGGCCGCGCAGGCCGTCGCGAGCACGGCGCCCCAGGATGCAAACGCAGCCCGCCCACGGGCAACGCCATACACGTATCGCACCCAGGTCAACCTACTCGGCTTGCTGGGCGCGCGAGACGACATCGCCGACGCCGCCGCTTGCGCCGTCCCTTACCTCCTGTGCCCCGCCGTTGCGCGCCTGCGATTCAGCGATTTGGATCGCGACGCGTGGCGCGAGACATGCTGGCGCTCGAAAGGCAAATTGGCGTCTGTGCCCTGGGCGGTGCTGCGGATGACCTGGGGCAAGCAATTTTTCGACCTGATCTACCGAGTCTTGCCGCGAGGTGCAGACGCGCCTAGGAACTGGCTGCGGCCAGCAATGGGGCTGGCAAGTGGCGCCTTGGAGTTCGTCGCCCCAGCGCGCCGCGGCAGTTGCGCAGGCGTCCTGATGGCGACGCCGGCCGCGCGCCGGTTGGCTGGGCACGCAGCCCATCGCACGCTGCGCAGCCCGCGTCATTTAATCCGCGGCGCAGCCTTCGAGGAGAGACGCAGCGCGGGCCTGCGGTGCCCAGCCAGCGGCGGGCCCCCTCGATGCGATCATAGCCGAAGGCCCCGGCCCCACGGCCGGAGGAAGCGCCGCCGGCCCACGCGATCATCACATGGGCCCGCGCCCGACCCGACGTGGATCGGACGCGCGAACGGGCCCGGGATCCTGCCCTTTGTATCCAGAGCAGGCTACGAAAGATTTGTCAAATTCGCATCTGCATCGCGTTGCGACAGGCGCTGTAAGATCGGCGCCGTAGACGGGCCGGCGCGGAGCAGCGCGCAGTGCGCCGCGCGCAGTAGTTCTTCGGGCAGCTCTGCTGTCTGCCGAGAGTTCATCTCGATCCCGCGCCCCAGCGCAAGCGGGCCCAGAGCATGTCTGTCGCGGTGGCCCCGGGGAAGAAAGACAGTAGATTGCCCGCCGAGGGAAGGGGTTATCCCGACAGGTAGAGGCGTGAAACATGAAGCTACGGAGTAAGTGCAACACCTGGCAGCTCCCCCAGGTAACGCGCGGGCGCGATCAAATGTCGCCGAGAAAAACCCAACGCCGTTTCGGTTCTATTACTGTGGTCAATCAATCATTTTCGACATTCATCTGTTAGCAGAAACCCGAGGATTCTCCGTGGGATTTGTTGCTCTCTGCAGAAACCATGCGTTTTGAATTATTTACGCGCGGAGAACCCCAGCGGCGGCCTCGCGAAGACGTGGGCGGCGAACGCGGCGCGCTCAATGAAGTTGAGCAGAAGCCCGGGCGCCCGCCGGGCGCGCCGCGCGCAGGTCCCGCGGGAAACGGGTCAAAGAAGATATTGTGCAGCTATGTGGCTTCATTTCAGTGGCGCCTTGCTTGCGCGCCGTCGAAATCTATTGTTGCGCCTCCTTCTCGCCCCCCGCCCTTTCGAACCGCGCCGCTGGGCGCGCCGGCCAGGCGAGGGCGCCCGGCGCGCGGCCGGGCAGAGGAGGGGGCGCGGGCTCGCCGTCGCATCGCGCGGGCTGAAAGGAGAAAGCTGCGAGACGCAGCCCGGCGCCAGCCCGCCCCTCCAGCGGGCCTTTCCTGCGGGGGGGGGGGCCGACAGTCCGCGGCGCGGGGGTCGCCGAGGCCTTGTCGACCGAACTGCGCGACGTTCTCGCGGGCAATGGCGTCGCCGAGAATGTGGCCAGATTCTTCGCGGACAGGCGCATCGCTGACTTGGCGGACGCCAACGTCGCGGACGTCGTCGGGCAGCTGCGGGGCTGGCCCCGGGCGACAGAGTCGCGCGCCAGCCGCTACAATCGGCGCAGCGGTAGGCGGGGCTGTAGCGAGGGCCGAGCTACAGGCGGCACCCAGAGGCGACAACCTCGAGGAGGGTATGTCCCCGGCCACGGAGCACCGCGGGCGCCTGGGCGCGCGGGTCAGGGAGCGACGCCACATGGCCTGACTAGTGGCCCCCAGCCAGCGGACCCGCGGGCAAGCTGAAGCGGGCGTAGAAGAAGCGCGCTGACTTCTCCCCCCGCCTCGCGGCGAGCATAAAGGAGATCCTCGAGAAGGAGGCCGACCCGCTGGTCAAGACGTTCTTCTCCAAGCAGGGCGGGGCGCGGGCTCCGGCGATTCAGGGGGCGCCACTTCCAGCCGACGTTGCCTGCGGCCAGGCGGCCGCCCAGGACTTCGAGGTCGTTTCGCCCGCCGTCCTCCTCGAGCATTGCCAGTGGCTAATGGGGGGATCGATGATTTCCCCCATGAGCCACCGGCGGTGCTCGACGAGCGATTTTCTGAAGGCCGACCTCTGCGCGCGCGCCAATTTGATGCTGGGCTGGCAGCGGGCGGCATTTGCGAACTGCCAGGAAGTCATCGTCCACCACCGCGGCCAGATCCTCCACCTCTCCCCAGACGCTGGAGACAGGTGGCGGGCCGCTCGAGGCGGGCCAGGCGCGAGTCGCGACCGCGGGGGCTGGTCCGCGGCACATCCCGCGGCGCGCACCCCGCGGGGGGCCCCCCTGGACAGCGCGCGCCCCCGAAGCTTCCGCAACGATTGGGGGGCGGCTTTCCAGCGGGGCCCTCAGCGGCAAGAGCGCGCCCCGCGCCATTGCGACTCGGCGCGGGGCCCCCTATTCGAGAGGGCCCAGAGGCAAGGCCTCTGAGGAGGGGCTTTCGGCAACGCGGCTGCCCGGGCGACTGTCGTGGAATATGTGTATTTCATAGGCATGCTTGGCCGTTTTGCTTTGCCGCTATTCAAATCGCACGCGGGGCATCGAGCCAGGATTCCTCGCGTGGCACAGTCGTGCCCTTGCGTCGGGGACACGAACCTCATCGGCTGGAGGTGCGACGGGAACAAGAGCAAGCTGCCCGGCGAGCACCTCCGCCTACCTGGCGCGGGGCGCCGAGTGGGCCCGGAGGCGATAACGCGGCTCTGCGACACTAAAGTAGACAAGCTGCTGCCCCTGATCCGCTCCCACCAGGCTCCAGGGAGGGCGGCGGCAGCGGGCGCCGCGACGCTGCGCAGCTCGTTCAACTGGGCGCGCTCGAGCCTCTGGGGCCGACGCGCGACGCCAGTGTTGGCGCCGTTGCAAGCCCGCCAGAGGAGCGGCAAGTTCTTCGGACTCAAGAGCGCCATGCTCGCCGCGTTCACGTGGCTCGAAGAAGCGCTCGGCCATGAACGCTGGCGTCGTGGTCAGCGCGGCATATCCAGCTCACCCTTGGCAGTCGCCATCACCGACGGGGAAGGCGCGGGCAACGTCGCCGCGGCAATGCGGCACCCGACAGCCAGCCGGACGCTCCCGCATCACCTCGATGGGAGTCCCAGAGAGCGCCCTTCCGAAATTGGCGCAGCACGCCTCCAGCACCATAGCTCCAATCGAGGGTGTTGAGCCGCGGCAAGCTTTAGCCACATGGCCGAGCCTGGAGCGCCGATTCTGAGTCCGTTTCATAGATTACACAGACGCCCCGCACGCGCTGATCGAAAGCAGCAGCCTGAACGCAGATCTGAAAGACGTGATTCACGCCACGTGGAAGATCGCCCACAGGCGACGACTGAATCTGTGGGGCGATAATGTAAATACCCGCGATAGCCCGGTGGACACAGCCAGCCGCGGGTGCAAGGACGACCACGACCGACAAGGTTGGATCTGGGATCCACCAAGCGATCTGTCAAACTTTCGATAAATAGGCCGGGACCTGCTCCTCGTCCTTTGCAACGGCGCAGGCATACCGACATTACCGCTTGCCCGTGTTAAAAAAAGATTCGGGCCCCATCGCCCTGTGGTCGTGACCCCCCCCACCGCACACATGTTTGCGCAAGAGCGCATAAGAACCGCGCAAGGTAAGGCCACCGAGGCCCTTCTCGCAATATTCTCATACACATATAAAAACTCCAAGGTCCGCGCGGGTTTCTCGGATCGGGACTCTGCCCCCCTCCCTGGCGCGCGGAACGCGCCGAGAGCGGCGTCGACGGCGCCGCCAGGAGGCCCCAGCGCCGATCCGAGGAACCCGCGCGGATCTCAGAGTTTTCATGTGTCTGTCATTGCTTGCTCCCTTAATTTGGCATTCCTCCTCCCCCGCCCCTTCCCCCCCCCCCCGCCCCCCCCTTCCGTTCCCTCCTTTTCCTCCTCCTCCTCCACACCGTCTTTCTCAGGCATGCTGCAAGGCGCACGCGTCGAGCGTCCTTCTGACCCTCTTCCCCCTTCTCCTGGCCCTCCTCGCCTTCCACGCCGACCTGGTGGCGCTGTTCCTCGGCGGCTGGGCGCGGGGACGGGCCTGGCAGGGTTGACGGGGGGTGGTCGGGGCCTTCGCTCTTCCTCAGAGTGCCCGCGGGCAACCAGCTTGTGCGCTCCATGGGCCCGTAGTCGCGCAGCCTCCCCCCCCCACGCCCCCACGTGCCACGAGGCACGGTGGCGGACCCGTGGTCCACGACGCGCTCGGCCCCCTGACGCCCCGGCAGGCGGCGCGGTGCCTGGACCTCACCGGGTTCGTGCGCTTCCCGGAGGCGTCGGGCGGGCGGCACTGTTCGGGGGCCCCCACAGCGGGGTGGTGACCACACCGTGCGGTGAGTCGGTGGGGATCCGGGGCCACCGCACGGTTTTGGGGCTCGGGTCGTTCTCCGAGGATGTCTCGGGCGACGGGGGCCTCCGGGGTCCCAAGACCGTGCGGTGACGGACTGTGCGGTGAGGTCTTGGGGGGTTTCCAGGTCACCGCACGGTCTTTCACCGCACCGCTTCGGGAGCCCAAACATGTGGCAATGGGGGGGGTGATAATTAGGGAGGGGGGATGCCATGGCGTGGGCCATGATATTCCTCAGATTTCATGGCGCCCCTTCTTATTTCACGACGTCCCTGGCCCCCCCCCTGGGCCGCGCACGTGCCGCTGGCCATGATTTGCGCCCCCTCCCCCCCTCTTGGACGCCCCCCTCCTGGCCGCCCCCGAGAGTCGGGCGGGTGGTAACGGGGGGTGACCCAAACGTGGGGTGAAGAAACGGGCCCTAAAGGGGCCCGTTTCAGAGCCCTCCTCCTCCTCCGCCTCCTCCTCCTCCTCCTCCTCCTCCGTCGCCGTCCTCCTCCCTCCTCCTCCTCCTCCTCCTCCTCCTCCTCCTCCTCCTCCTCCTCCTCCTCCTCCTCGCCACCCGCCCGAAGGTGGCGGAGCGGCAGACGCTGGCGAAGCGGCTCGGGCGCGCCGCCTCGGAGGAGGACTCTCGGCGGCGAGATCCGAACCCTGTCCTCTCCGAGCAGCGGTCGAGCCTCGATCGCTGCTCGGGCCTCGATCGAGCCTCGATCGAGCCTCCAACCTCGACTTTGCCACCTCGATCATCGAGGTGGCGAAGTCGAGGCTGGAGGTTGGAGGGTTTGGGGAGATTTTGAGCGCTGTCGGGGGCCCTCGGCCCTCGGCGGCTTTCCAGCCGCGGGGTGCGTTTCAGCGGCTGCGCCTCCCCGCGGGTGCCCGGGTCGTCCCGAAGGGCCGCCGGGGAGCCGAGTTATGACCCGTGAGTCGGCGGTAAGATCCGAACCCTGCCCTCGCCGAGCAAGGATGTGGCGGACACGTGGCGAAAGCCGAGCCCTACCCATCGCCTCCCATCGACCCAGGAGAATCGTTGGCTGCTGGGGTGGGGTTCGGACGTCGTCACCAGAAGACGACCACGGCTCCCGAATAGCACCAATTGTGTGTGCGCGCGCGGTGTCCTTCTCCTCCCCCTCCTCCCCCTCCTCCCCCTCCTCCTCCTCCCCCTCCTCCTGCCCCTCTCCAACTTGTGGTGGTGGTGGTGGCAAGCAGGCCCAGCAGCGCTGGAGTCAGGAAACAAAGCATGTCGCCGTGGGGGAGGAGGAGGAGGAGGAGGAGGAGGAAGAGGAGGAGGAGGAGGAGGAGGAGGACGAGCAGGAGCAGGAGCAGGAGCAGGAGGAGCAGGAGGAGGAGGAGGGAGGAGGAGGGAGGAGGAGGAGGGAGGAGGAGGGAGGAGGAGGAGGGAGGAGGAGGAGGAGGGAGGAGGAGGAGGAGGAGGAGGAGGAGGAGGAGGAGGAGGAGGAGGAGGAGGAGGAGAGGAGGAGGAGGGAGGAGGAGGAGGAGGAGGAGGAGGAGGAGGAGGAGGAGGAGGAGGAGGAGGAGGAGGAGCGGGTCCTGACGGAAACGGGTCCTGAGGTTGCACAAGCAGCACTTCTCTGGGGTGTCTGCGCGGAGTCCTCGGATCGGCACGTGAATCCTTTGAACCCCACGTTTCTGAGTGGTCATGCGCGTCGCACCCGGATCAGTGAGCAGATTAGCAATGCAGAATCATGTGCATAGCATCTTGAGGCATGGTGTGTATTATAGTTCTGATAAACTGTTTCGGCATACGCGCGCTGGAGGCGCGACGCCCCGGGAGCTCTCGACCCCGTCCCTGCTTGGGTCGTTTCTTCTTTCCCTGGGCTCTTGACCCCTTCACGGGGTGTAGACGTCCGGAGACCTGTCGGGAGGGCTTCCTTTCGATCGGCTCCAGGACCCAAGCCATGTGAATAGCGTGTCACACAAGCAGAACTGTTTGTAGACTTTATTGCCAAAGCCATCGCCGATCTATCGATGATGCATGCATTTGTGCTGTCCGCAGCTACTTTTTTTTAGTCAATGTAATAACATATTGTCTATCGCCGGTTGGCAAGCCAGTTACGTCTGGCACGCGCGCGCCAGCTGCTACTGCAACCGCTTTGGCTCAAGGCCAAGCCGAGCGCACACTGACTGGAAAAGGTACTCGCCTTTCATCCTTCTATTCGTTCCACTGCGATCGTCATGTCAGAAGATTTACCCCTAGTAGCAGTGACAAGGGTTATGAGCCCAACGCCGAATGAAGGATTATTGGTTGGTGTACACGCGAGCTGTCAACGATGCCATGTACAAGTGTACGAACTTGCGCTGTGCACGCAGTGCGGCGTGTTCGGCCACCCACAATGTATCAACCTCGAGTACTTCCAGGGGTACCCGTTCTGTGGTACATGTATGGCCGGAGTCACACAACAGTACGCTTCGTATGAAAATGGTCTACGACGGGAACAATGGACACGTTCTCTGGCTGAGCAACTTACTACCTGGCGAGGGCGGGCCACAGAAGCAGTTGGTCTGTCAGCTTCTGTAGGAGTGGCAATCGGAGGTGCAGCGGCGACCGCTACTGGTGCAGCGCTTTCGCTGGTGCGTGGAGTAATGCAAGGGGCTAGGGAAGGAGCTACTTCTTCAGAGCCGCTGGCTTTGCCAGCCCCCGAGCCGCCAGCAGAGCCAACCACTGCTTCTGGACAGCTTACCAGCCGCGAGCTTCTCAGGCCGAAGAGAGCCGCCAGGCGGGCCCAGTCCTTCGACCGCGCCGCCGGCGCCGCTGGTGGCCACTGCTCGGCGTGCCACACGGCCAACTTAGGCCACGCCCGCCACCTTCGCTCCGGAGACTGCGTGGGCTTCCCTGGAAGCTCGTTCTACCGCCGACAGGAAGCGCCAGCGCCAGAGCCAGCTCAACCACTACCAGCCCTGCAGGAACCAACCGAGGCACAGACCTTGGACGACAAGGCCGCAGACGACGCCACGAAACTCACGCCGCCGAGCTTTACAACAGTGCCTACGACGGCACCGCAGCACCGACGACTGGGGACCAGTCGGGAGGGAAGCCTTCCGATAGGCCCCCTGGCCTGGATCCGTCGGGAGGGCCTCCTTCCGATGGACCTGGGGACCGGTCGGGAGGGAAGCCTTCCGATAGGGCCCCTGGCCAGGTTTCGTCGGGAGGGCTTCCTTCCGATGGGCTTGGCCGGGTTTCTGCTTCTGCCCCGCAGTACGGCAACGAGCTCAGCGACGCGATCCAGAGTTTGACGTCGGTGGTGGAGGGCTTGTCGACTACAGTGAAGAACCTTCAAGAGTCGGTCGAACGTCTCAGTGGCAGAGTAGAGCAGGTAGAGTTCGAATGGGCTTTCTGGCAGTCTGTTCAGGTTCAGGACGAGCTCCCCGACAGCAACACCGCACCACACCAAGCAGAGTACTGCCAGCTGAGTGCCAGCGGCACGCCGCGCAGCGCGGCAGGCCGGCGCAGCGATCCCGATCCGAGCGCCGAGTGGTACGACGCGCCGGCGAGGGATCAGGGCCCGATTTTCGGGGCAGGAAACGTGGCCGACGACTTGTTGGCCATTACAGAGGGCCAGGGGGCCCGGCAGCCGCAGGAGCTGCCACCGCAGCCATCCACCGCGCCTACGGCGAGGCTCCCGCTGCAGGACGGCGGCTGCGCGACGGCGAGCTTACCCAGGAGGGAGGCGAACCTTACGACGACGTCTGGGGACCCAGGGTTGTGGCCACGACCCGATGTTCCTGGGCAGGAACAACAAGTACCACCAGGATTGATTCAGCAGGGTATCGCCGACGACCAGGGCATCCTCTCCCGAGGCGCAGGCGCATCGCGCAGCGGAGCGTTGGCCAGTCGTCTGCCTGTGAACCCCCGCGGCACGGAGGTCAGTGTCAACCGGGAGAATTTCGTAAGCGGGAGCGTTGCTCCATACGTGCAGCCACTTTCGCTGGTCGCCGTTACGCCACAGACGATTCCTCCGAACACTAACGACAGTGACGTGTTTTCTTTCCTGGGAGGTGCACAGCCCGCGCGGTCCCTGGGGGGCCACGCAGCAGCCGGGGCAGAGGGCCCATCTGCACGGCAGCCGCAGAGCGCGAGTTGTGGAGCGCCGCTTCTGGGAGCACTCGGAGGACTGGCGCCGACTCCACCTGAGCTTTTTGACGGGGATGCGCCCCCGCAGTCTTTGAGCCCGGCGGAGCTGAATATGTTGATGAAGTCTATTCAGGTGTTCGTGCCAGAGTTTCCCAAGCTAGAGATGGGCGATCCTTCTTCCAGAGCAGGTAGACTTCTGAGTTGGCGGATTTCTGTCGACCAGGCCATAAACCCGGCTGGCCCGCACTTGATCCAGTGGTGGAAGTGGTGCCAGCGCGAGGCCGAGAAGTCATATAAGATGTTTCTTAAGATGCCGATTCACCAGCGGGAGGCGGTTCTCCCTACTGCTCCAATGCCGGAGGCATGGTTGCAGGTAGATGCGTGGATCAGGCCACGCATACTCGACGCGCTGCCGAAGGACATCCGCGATTGGGTAAACTTGAGGGCCCGCCAAGGCAAGGTGGACCCATCACACGTTCTTCTCTTCTACGTGATGAAGACTTTCTCCCCTGGCGGTGCGGACGAGAAGGTTCATCTGATCAACTCAGTGCTGAACCCGAGCGTGTGCTCACAGCCGCGCGCGGCCCAGGTGGAGCTTTTGAAGTGGAAGGAGAATCTCCGGAGGTGTGCCGAGCTGGGCTGCTACCCTCCAGATCTTCTTCTGGTTTACAGAGCGATGGAATCTATCTTTTGTGCTGTATTCGACAAAGCCGAACCGCAGCTCCACCATAGATGGGTTGATCTTCGCAATCAACTTGGTCTGCCTCACGTGATTACCCTGCAGGCGATAGAACACGTCGCTGCTTTCGCCGAGGCGGAGCTGGGAGCGTTGGTTCTTCATGGGGGCGTTGGTTTGAACACCGGACTACCTCCTCACTGACAACCAGAAGGCGCGCCAGCACCAGATCAAGGAGACGGAAAAGAAACGTGCCGCCGCTCTCCGGCAAACAGCGGCGCAACCGACGCAACAAGCACCGACTACTGGGAATGCCGCTGTCGTTCGCTACTCTTCCACGACTTCTAGCTGGGCCAGCCCCTGCAGGTCCGGGACAGAGCGTGGCGTCTGCCAGCGCGGCATTAGTTGTCATTTTGCCCACCCCGGCTTCCCTGTCACGGAGGACCGCTGCGTTACTTGCGGCGCCAAGAACCACAGGGGGAAAGACCGCAAGGCGCCGGGAGGCGGAGCCGACCCTAACCGAGAAGCCGCCTGGGAGGAGTACCGCAAGAGAAAGGAGCAAGCAGCAACCGCAGGGAAAGCAGGAGCCAAAGGACGAGGCAAAGGACACCCAAAAGGAGGAAAAGGTAAAGACAAAGACAAGGACAAGGGCAAGGCGAACGCAGCCATTTCTGCTGAACAACCTGCAGGCGCACCGCCGGCGACCAGCGCCCAGGCCAAGGCGGCCTTCGACGGAGAGTCTCTGAGGGCCTCTTCGGCTACGACAACCGCGAGGTTTCCGAGGCAGGCCGTTGGTTTGGACAGCTGGGCGAACGTGCACCTGATTCACCAGAAGGGCACCGTCTCTGACGCAGAGTACCCGCATACC